GTAGTAGTAGGTAGTAGTAGGTAGTAGTAGGTAGTAGTAGGTAGTAGGTAGTAGTAGGTAGTAGTAGTCACAACAAGTTTAAACAAGCACAAAGAAAAGGCCAGGGACACAGGATCAAATTAATAGGGGGTAGTAGTGCAGATTATTGATGGGGGACCGGCCCTTGTGAGGGGTACCCTTTGTGAGCTTGTCAAATGATTGTTTTTAATTGTTTTTTAATAAGGCAATTTATAGGCCCTGAGCCCTAGACATTTTTAAGGATTTCATCAAACATGTAGTAGGTAGTAGGTGGTGATGGTGGTGGAGGTGGTGGTAGCAGTAGCAGTAGCAGTAGCAGTAGCAGCAGCAGCAGTAGCAGTAGCAGTAGCAGGAGTAGCAGTAGCAGTAGCAGTAGCAGCAGCAGCAGCGGCAGCGGCAGCGGCAGCGGCAGCGGCAGCAGCAGCAGCAGTAGCAGTAGCAGTAGCAGGAGCAGCAGCAGCAGCAGCAGGAGGAGTAGCAGTAGCAGTAGCAGTAGCAGTAGCAGTAGTAGTTGTAGTAATACGAAAAATTGACCTGGTTGTGGGCTCGGATTAACTGGGGGGGATTGTTGGTAGAAAACTAGACCATAGGGGGGGAAATCAACAGCCAATAATACTTTTAAATTGGGCAATTTCCGGCGGCTTTGTGGGCTCGGATTAACTAGGGGGGATTTATTAATCCTAACTTGACATTAGCTTCTTCACTGCATGTTCAGAAGAGTATGTATACTGTGATCATAAATTTAGGACCTTGCATTGCCAATTTGTGCTTGTACAATTTTGAGGCGGCTGTGGCTCTCTTGTCTCGCTTGTTGCTGGTGCTGCTGTCGTTAGGTCACAAACATGGTAAATGCTATTTTGCTCTCCCTGGTCTCCCTGGTACTGGCTGCAAGCTACTCAAGCAGGAACCTGAAAAAACCTTGTGATGTTGAATGAATGTGCCTCTCCAGCTCCTAGCATTCCAGCACAAACTCACATCCAAAGCAACTGCCATTTGGTACCCTTGAAAAACATCTCTTTGCATCAACTGCTGTTTGTCAAACCCCAGGCTGCGCCTGGACTGAAACACACAGTTGTTTTGCGCCTTGCTTGTGGAATGCTAGGAAAGGACGTATATTTTAAAAAAGAGTAAGGACCCCTTGAAAGGGCCTAGGAGCCTTACCTTCGTTGTTTTTCATTTCTTCTTCTCCGCTCCTCAGGAAGACTCCGAGCTGCCAGACCCGGAGCCCTTAGCCAGCTGGCGTCGCTTTGAGACCAACAAAATGCCACTACGCCACAGTGCTGGACTTTCCGCTGTGCTTGTCTTGGAACCCCAAGTCAACCCAGCTTCAAAAATCTCCCATGAGGGCAACTGGGTACTAGTAGCTTGAAGTATTCTTGAAGGTTCATTAACACGTGCTCTCGTGTTTGTTAGTTCCCTTGTCAGCTAGTAAGGGAAGACAGTTGTAGAGGGTACTGGCCCCCCTCTGGGTTCAGACACTGGCGAGCAATGATTAATATACAAGTAGCCTCGACAGCACACCGCATGATTGCTCTTGACGGAACCTTGAAGCATATCACCCAAGCACCAATTGCTATATCCACTTGGAGATGGCAAAGCTATATCACGAAGTACTTCCTGAAAGAGATTGCACAACTATTCTACGAGCCCATTATCCACTTGAGTTTGTTGCATGGAGTTCACTGATGCTTTCGGTGGGACAACTTGTATGGAAGACCCTTTGATCCTTTGCCAGCATTGACCTGAAATTTTAGGTTTTCCTGAGAATCCAGAAACTAAATACCAAACCAAATCAATCCTGCGAAGGCTTCTTGAAGGAAGTTCCCCCCATCAAGAACCCAAGCCTTTCTGCTTACAAAGCGCAGCTACTTAAGCTATTTATCTCTCATGGCCTCCTCAAAAAGAAAGGTCTCTAAATTAATCTATATAACAGCCTTCTCATTCCACAGTCAATCAATCACACTCAGCTCACCGACGCTGCTGCTAGAGGATTCGCTCTCACTTGACCTCACAGAACTTGTACAAATAACAACACCAAGATATATATATATATGTATATATTATATACATTTTTTACACCAGCATAGACCCAGATAGCTAGGCAGAATCCCACGACCTATTGACGTGCGACTGGCTGGAACAAGAATGTACGCAGCTTGCGCAGCCAGCTTACGGCACCTCCACAGCGCGCACAATCAGCTGACACCAGCACCGGTGCGAAAGCGCGCACAGCCAGCTCATTGTCCTTTGAAATAATAAGAACCCCATAGCTGTCGCTATATGGGGAACAAAAAACTCTCTCCAGCCAGCACCCAGCACCGGCACCCGGCACCGGCACCCGGCACCCTGTCTCCACCACGCGCACAGCCAGCACCCAGCACCAGCACCGGCACCCTGTCTCCACCACGTGCACAGCCAGCTCACAGCACCAGCACCGGCACCGGCGCCCGGCACCCAGCACCGGCACCCCGTCTCCACCACACGCACAGCCAGCAAAGCGCGCGCAGGCAGCTCATTGTTAGGGAAAATGATCCGAAAATAGACCCCTCACATATGCAAGCTACACCACCAGCACCAGCGCCCAGCACCAGCACCAGCACCGGCACCCGGCACCCACCACCAGCACCAGCACCAGCACCAGCACCAGCAGTCTGTCTCCACCACATGCACAGCCAGCTCACAGCACCAGCACCGGCTCCCGGCACCCAGCACCAGCCGGCACCCGGCACCAGCACCAGCAACCTGTCTCCACCACGTGCACAGCCAGGTCACAGCACCAGCACCAGCACCAGCACCAGCAACCTGTCTCAAAAGCGCGCACGGGCAACTCATTGTTATTTGAAGTAAGAACCCCATAGCTTTGCTATCTGGGGAAAAAAAAGAAAAAAACTATATATATATATATATGTGCATGTGATTTCACTGTCCACCTCCTGGTTGGTACGTTGCTTGATAAGTCTCAGTCTGACCCAACCCAACTGTGTAGTGAACCAAAGGCTCAATCCGAAACATTGAGGATGCTGCTTCTTCTTTGTTGTCTTTGGTTTACCTGCTCCTGCCACACAGCAGTCAAACCCTGTCGATTTCCTTTCCAGCTTGGAAATGGCGAAACGGAGAAACGGAGAAAAAGGTTGCTCTTCCGCAGCAAAACAAAACAATCATCTGTCAATTCCACGACAAGCACCGCCTTCTCAATATCAGAACGCGCCGGCCTTTTGCCTTAGCCTTTGGCTCTTTCTCTTTGGCTGCGGGCTTCTTGTCCTTGGAAATGGTTGCCTGCAAAGCCAACAAGGCCAACTGTCGATATGTTGATATAGTAAGCTAAGTATACGTCGTGTGTATATTTCGTGTATACAACACAGACAACTATGCATATCCTGCCCAATGTGTCTGTCAGTGTGACCCAAAAATCCCAGCCTTGACAGCCTTCTTGGCAGCCTCACCGGCCTTTGGGCATCAATGCTCAAGTCTATTTCATGTGATTCGCATGAGACCAATGTTTCTGTCATTGTATTTTTGCAATAAGTTGTTTCTCTTCCTTTGTCACTCGTACATCCTCGTGGACTCATTGAAAATTCTATCAAGAAGAACTTCGGAACGCAACATGACAAGACCCCATCAGTCCACCAGGTGTGCTCAGCCAGTATTTCGGACACCACATTGTTTGCACCTGAGCTTTTGCCTTGTCAGTCTTCTTTGCCTTTTCAGCCTCCAAGTGCGGAAATGCATGAGGTCCATGTTCCACATGCAAACTGTGCAATACACCACGTTCGCTTGGAAAGGTTCAGCTCCATGGCCCTAAATGGAGTTGCCGCAAATCCAATTCTCAAATATCTTCAATGATACTGAATGGGCCACTGGATCCTCATTTCTTGCACCCAGACCCAGTCCTTCGCAGGCTCCTCCTTCTTGGTTGCTTTTGGCTTTTCCACCTGGCTTGGCTATTGCGCGTGGGGGCTCTTTTGCAAATGTAGTAAGGCATCAGTCTTCTCATATCAACCAGCGCCAAGAGCTAGAAAACTGTCGCTATTCAATGATCACATTTTAAGATTCAACCACTTTTTCTTCCTATGTTATAGAACTATGCCTGGAAAAGGGCAAGCAACAAACGCTTTCTGGAACGATGGTTTTGAGTGTTCGGCTAACTGTTTCCAAATTTTAACGCAGCAAGGTGAGGTGTCACAGTGTCTTGATGGCAGTGCATGCCTAGTGTAGACATACTATTTAAATCCAAGAATGGAGACGACAAAATCAGAGGCTCCCACATTGACATGTAAGAAAGCTGAACTTGCATTTCCTACCAGGTCGTTGTTGCCTTACCTATGCAGGGATGAGGACAATGAATCTGGTGCATTGGCATAGGGCACTCGCTTTTCGTTCATGCTCTGTGTATCGCCGTCCCAATCTCTTGCTTATCAAACTATGCGTATTCTTTACATGGTTTCAGCTTGATTGCCCATGGATTCCATGAACCTAGTAGCTTCTTGCTCCTAGTAGCGATGCCAGGAGCCTCTAGTAGCGTCCTTGCTCCTAGTAGTAAGGCCCGTGTCTAAACGATGCGTCTGGACATGAGATTCTCATGCTGCTCGATTGAAACTCACAATTCTCCCCCTCCGGGACCCTCCAAGCTGCCTTCTTCTCGGCTTTTTCGGCCTTTTCCTCCTTTTCCTTGGCCTTCGGGGCCTTTGGCTTCGCCTCGACCAGCCGCAGTTCTCTGAACACGTGGCCAAGGTGAGAGTGCTAACGTTGTCTGTTTTCTTCTTTTGATTGTTTCTATTAGCAATGGCCTCCAACGTACTAGGGATGGCCTCCACCTAATATGTTGCAAACAAAGCTGTTCAAGGATGCAATGTTTGTTCAGCTCTTCAAATTGTCTCGAGGACAAGTCGTTGCTATGAATCCAAAGTTGGGACGGACCAAATCAAATCTTCATTGAATAATCACCGCAAAAAAAAGCACAGAAACATCCTTGTCGTCCTTGGCTTCTTCCTTCTTCTCTTTTGTCTTCGTCTTCTCTACGACCTGAGGAAAATCTTAAGCTTAGGGCTCTTGGCATTTGACTCTTGACAAATAATGCGTGGTGGGGGATCACACTCTAAATGGTGCTCCAAGCAAGCATGACTTTCAGAAATTGGCAAACACAAGAAGGAACGGCAGCCTTCTTTACCTTCGCCTTCTCCTTCTCTGGTTCAGCCTCCCGCCAGAGAAATCAGGGAACAAGGCTTCATATTGATGGACTCGAGTACATTTTGGAAGTGCTGGCTTGGTACTTCTTTGAGACGCAACAAGCTGCCCATATGTATGTCCGCTGTATCACCCAGACTGGTCTTTTCCTCCAGACTCTTGGTTCTAGATGATGAAAACATCTTGTTTACAACGCTCACCCAAGCATCAAGCAAAGCATGCATCCTCCTTTTTCTTCTTAGTGGCGGCTGGCTTCTTTTTTTCTTCCACCTCCTGCTCATGTATAGACTTGGCAAGGGAATCAATTTCAGTTGCAACGTGCCATCAACTCGTGAGATTGTATAGATTGGTTCACCTCCATGTACCTTAATTTTGTAAAACTTGCTGCTTTGACATATTTGAATCACCTAAATCTTTGAACAACCAGAGCTTTTGCAGCGTAGCTGTGCAGCTGTAGGCGGTCGTCCTTTTCCTTGGTCTCCTTCCTCTTGGCCTTCGCAGGCGCCTCGGACTTCCGACAAGGCCCAAGCAACTCCAACGCAAACCTTCTCACAGTGCCAATTCTGCTGACTTGGCTGTCAGGTTTGAGCAAAATCAGGCCTTCTTCTCTTCCTTCTCCTCCTTCTTTTCTTTCTTTTCGTCCTTTTTAGGTTCAGCTTTCTTCGGCGCTGGCTTCTTCGCCTTTGCCTCCAACACATGAGAACACCTGCCTCAACAAGCAACAATGATGACATTGACATGGATCGCGGTCTTCGGCCTTAGGAATGGATTCCTCCTCAGAGTCCTCATCTGAATCGGATTCTTCCACCCTGGCTTTGGCCTGACTTGTCAGCACTTGGCACTCTCAAAAAGGCCTCTACAGTAGGCTTCCGGCAATTTACGAACCAAACAAGTCCTGAAACCAGACCTGCAGTTCTTAGCAACTAGGCCTACCATTACTTCCGTGGCCAAGTCACAGTCACGATTCTATGCATGTATGTGTAAAGCCCAAAGTACTAACCGTCAGCCATTGGCAAGAGACGGTTTGCGGTTTGTGGCATTTTCTACCCCAATCCACAAGTATATACTGTATTGTCTGTGACCGGAAAACAAAAATAGTAAAATATACACATCACCCCAGCCCATGGGCCTTAGCCTTTTCGCGTTCTCTTTCCTGGCCAAATGAGTCTTCACAGGCAGCTGTTGAATGATGCATTCAAGCCCAAGTAACTGATTGAGCAAAATGTGTCTCTCTGCTTGCAAACTGGTGCCTTTTCACGCTCCTTTTCCTTCTCCTTCTCCTTGCGCTTGTTCAAAGGTTCAACCCCCAGACAATGCAACAGCCTCCAGAAGGGTAAACTGGTGGGTGATGCTCCTGAAAAAGGGATTATGGCAGAAGCATTGGTGTTGAATTGCTGTCTTCATGGAGGTTTGACAACCAAATTGCGTTCTTATTATTAAGCCGTTTAGCAAAACGATAAAGAAGGCAGGGGCCCTTACCTTCTTCATCGTTTTGCTTGTAAGTTACAGCGTCCTGGCATGACTTTGATGTCCGTTGCTGGCTGGGTGTCCATTCAGTAACATTGAAGAGGCTCTCAAATGATTAATGGGGCCAAAGAGATAATGTTGCTATCACTGTGCTGTATTTTGGCGTTACTATGTTCACCATCAAGTCCTTTGCCCCTGAACCCGAATGCTTATTGATGTTGATGGTACAACGGCAGAGCAAAGGCATCAAATCTAAGGTGTCCATGTATTTACCAGTCCATCTTTGCAAACCCTTTACCAAGCCTTAGCACGTTCCTTCTCACGTTCGCGGTCGCGATCCTCAGTCAAGACGTTCCACATCATCCATTCAATAAAAGCAGACCTATGTTGAATGCAGAGGTCATCGGCAATATCCAACTTTGAAATACCACTGAATACAAACTGCATCAAACCAGCCATTGACATCTCTAAGCTAGAAGTGCTGGCTGTAAATCAACCAAGTGCTGAAGTAGATCAAACTGTTTGAACTCAGGGCAAGAAGCTACTAGGGGCTCCTGGCCTTACTACTAGGAGCAAGGACGCTACTAGGGGCTCCTGGCATCGCTGCTAGGAGCATTTTTTTACATGTAAAAAAAGAAGCTACTAGGGGAATTTGCAGAAACATGTTGCTTGTCGAGGACCCGCAGCTAAGGACTCTGCTCTCCTGTCCCGATCTCGATCACGGTCACGGTCCCGGTCGCGGTCCCGGTCGCGGTCCTCGGCCAGAAAACACAGAAGCGCATACGATTCCATTGGTAAGTAGAAAATGATCAATGCAAGTAGTAAACCAGAGAGAAACTCTAGTAGTATTGTTGGTCTTTAGATGTGGTTAGACGTCGTTTTAAGGATATTGACTGCTTTGGTATTGGTCTAGCGTGTCTTGCAAAAGAATGACTGAGGCCGACTACCCGCCCACTCTTCTCCTCCCTGGAAGGAGCTGTCCGAAGAACAGCAAAATTTGGCAAGATTGCTATGCCAGTAGACTGCGATGCTACTATTCCACTCTACTGGACATCTGCCACATAAAGAGCTGAATTGTTCATTCTATTTCGTGTATGTATAGGCAGGCGTCACCAGAAAAGAATGAGCTTCCATTTTGCCTAGAGGCCCTTCGGCCAAGACTGCTGTGAGGCAGCTATCCGAGGCCTTCGGGTTTCACGCCGATCACGATCGCCACGCTCACGCTCGCCACGTTCGCCACGTTCGCCACGCTCGCGCTCCTGAAGCAACGATGATGATCGACAATTCAACACGTCTTTGCTGAAAGGAATGGCAGTCCTTATCCTTCTCAAGCCGACCTGTTAGCACAGCCGTAGCCTGCCAATCCGAAGACTCCGCTTCAGATACCACAGCACTGCAGTTGGGTCTGTTCAATCCAAGCTTGCCCTGTGGCAGGCTTATATCTTATATCTCTTGATTGTGGCTTTCTCTTGATTGAGTCGTGGCATCTTTAAAGAAAAAACAACTATCAATGAAAAAGATTACCACGGCCTGGGCCTGAGCCACAGGAGCTGGCCGGCGCACCTGACTTCTCTGTTACAACGCTTTCAGCGGCCGCGTGCTTCTGATATGACGCACATCAATGTGTTTGCTATCGTGTACTCATCCAGCTATACTCCTAGTGTCAATGGTCAAAGATTGTTTAATGGTATACGCATCATCTCCTCAGGAGTTGATTGGCAACCCTTTCTCAACTCTGTAATTTTCAGCAAGAAGATGCAAAAAAGCGTTGATTTTTAGGAAAACTTTGTGGAGCAGCATCCGTGGAAGTTCCCCTAAGACCAGAACGGGACGCACAGGCATTGCAGGAGCACGCTCCAGCCTCAAGGTCGTGCTCCAAGATTGTAGCAAGCAGCGAGCACAAAAAGTCGAGACCCTTTTACAAACAGTTCTCCACATGAGTAAAGGAAGGAGCATTCCTGACATAGAAGGCAAGGATTTCCTTCTGTCAGAAGCACATACAATTTCCACGGTTTGTTCGTTCCTTCAAATTTTGTATTTTGTAAACAGCCTGCCTTCTCTTCCGTTCTTCCTGATGCTCCACCTGGTCGAAAGCTGACACATTAACAGCAAAGTGCAAAAGATTACAAGCTCCTATTGAAGTGCTTGGAAACCTTTGTACCTGAATACTAGCATACCAAGAAGGAGTCTGCAAAGACTTTCTGTTCTTTAAGTTTTAAAATGTTTTTCAAAGCTTCACACGAAAAAGGGCAGGTGGAGGCTTGGTTTTGTTTGTGTAAGAGGCACTGCTACTGCATAAATGTGGAAGTTGGAGCTGAGGAGAAAGGGGAGATTGAGGAAGATTTCGTAGTGAATAGAAATCCAAGACAATGACAGAAAAGAATCCGCAAAACTGGCCAAAAGGAAGACCTCAACTTTCAAATGCCTTCAATCTGTGACCATTTAAACATCCGGGCTCCTGTTCTGGTGAGCTCTCCCAAATAGCAGGTCAATCGACAACAACCTAAGGGCTGAACCCTGATCACATTCCCGTCAATCTGTCCCGTGTTGAGATGAGAGATAGCCCTGTCTGCCTCGGTTGGTCGCACATATCATACATACTCAGGGCCATGGAAGCCCATTGGCATCTTTCAGCAAACACAAGCTTCTTATATCATGCAACAGTGAATCTGGCATCACAGGGGTGTTTTGTGTGAACTTGGACTCAAACATCTCTCTCCTCATAGAACTCCACAAAGGCGTAGCCTGCAGCTAGAGGAGGAGGTCTGAAAATACGTTGAACTCGGCCATGGCTATAGCTATGAGACATTCCACCAAAAGCCTACAAACTAAAAAAAATGAAATAGGAATACTCTAGACTCTACAGAGATGTTGCACAGTATTTACAGTGTGGTTGAAGGATGTTCCTTCCTTTGCTCTCAGGCAGCACGCTTGCAAAGGTGCACACACAAACCAAGGCCCACTGTCAGAACCATGGGAGCTATACTCAACCTGTGTATGTATGTAAACAGATGCTATATAATATATATGGGCATCTGGACATGCCACAAACTTCCAGGAATGAGGAATGATCGTGCCTCTGAGCACTCCACAGCCAAAATAGAAATCAGGTTGTGAGTAAAATGCAATTCATTCTGGAGCAACACCCAAGAAAAGCACCATCTTCACCAGAAATCATGTTGGATCCTTGTATGACTTGTATGACCAACCAATCTTCGAGAAACTGCATTGCATCACTGCACCGATGTCTGTATTGAGCTACCACTGCAGCAGGCCAAGCCTTTAGGCAAACCTGCTGTCTTATCGATCGCCAAGGTTGCTTCCTTCACCTATCGAGCTACGGGACAGACTCTTTGAGTTTTCAAGACAGGATTGAAGAGAGGGTGGTAGTAGAAGGTCCCACACCTGCTTAATGGACCTGATATATAAATCGAACACAACTGAACTACATGGAACATAGAAGTCATGACGCCCATGCAAGCAGAACAAACTTTTTTGTTCTGATGTCTTGCCCAGAGGACTTGAGCCTTGCCATAATTGCCAAATATTTCCTTCAGGTGATCTTCATTGACCTCAGATTGCACTGCTAAGCCAAATACTATAGCAGGGCCCATGGTGCATCACACAAGAGTCAAGGGTTATCTAGTCTAGTTTCCAAAAACTTAATTGTGAGTCAAAGCATAAACCCTTAGAATCGTTGAGTTCTCTTGTGATCTGTGCCAACACTACTGTACATCCAGCCTTGTGGGAATTACAAGGGTCAGTTTTTGCGCTTGCAATCATTTTCTGGATATGGAAAATGAATATCTCAACTGAAGGACCTGTTCGAAAATCACTTGTGTTTTGCCCAATTGCCTCAGTTTACTTGCGAACACGACCGGCACTGCCACTCTTTGAGGCCCCAAGCATTTCGGCTCAAGTTGGAAACGGCCAGGACCTTTCGGTCTTCACGCCTCGTTCGGAAAGAGCACTCCCAAAGCGACTCACTTTCTCAAATCAATTTTAGATGCGATGGGCAGAAACTGGAATAGACCTGTCGTTCACAGTTCCAGCTGGACTTTGTAGACCGTCATCACGGCCCTAAAAAAGCAAGTGCCAAAGAGTACAAAGGAGTGTGCAGGTAGGACATGTTCGCCTACCTCGCTGTCAACTCGGCAGGGCAAGAGACCATAAAGCTATCGCCCTGGCCTCCTCTCTTGCCGGTCCTTGCCGCGGCTGCGACTCCTGTCCTGATATCACACATTTGCTGTCAGGAGAGTATATACTCTGGTCCGCAGCTAAAGAAGATGATTGAGAAAGAGCAAAAACAAAACTAGGTATATTATATACGGGCTCGTTTCACTGGGCCCTTTGCAAAGCGGCCTTACTAGAGGAGCCCTTACCTCCTTTTCCAAAACAGCCCCCTTTTACCCATAATCTGATGTGGTGACATCCGTGGCCTTTTAAGCAAAACCGCTGGACACGCCCATTTGCTAGCACTCTCAGGCACGGGCCCTGTCTCGCCCCCGATCCTGGAAACGTGCAATCGTGTCCTGTTTCATAGACAAATTCTTTTATGCTATTGCTTCCGTACTTCAAAAATACAAGCCCAAGATCCAGCGCTACGCGATGTTTGCTTTTTCAGGAGATCTCAAACATCGACATCGGATTGGTATGCTTCATGACAGTTGTGTATGTCCTCCTACCTGTCTTAACCACAGGAAGGCTATCGCTACTAGATTGGAGGCCATCGATACTAGGTTGCTAGTGGGTTGGAGGCTATTTGTGTTGTTAGTTTCGTCCAGCACACAAGCCCCCACCCACCCTTGCAGTCCCTGTCGCGGGATCTGGCTCGTGACTTGTCTCGAGGCTTCTCTCGCGACTTGTCTCGAGACTTTTCGCGCGACTTCGGCGACTTCTCCCTGGATCGTTCTCTGGACCTTTCTTGAGACTTTGCCTTCTCTTTTTCAGCCTGAGGACAAAAGGCTATTTGGTTGGAGGCCATCGCTAGTAGGTTGGAGGCTATCGCTAGTACGTAGGTTGGGGACATCGCTTCTATGTTGGAGGCCATCGCTGTTAGGTTGGAGGCCATCGCTTCTAGGTTGGAGGCCATCGCTATTAGGCACAAAAAGGTGAGAGCAATGCAGAGCAGCTAGAACGCTTGTGCTTCTTTACCAGGAGCCTTCGAATGCTGAACAAGTTCAGAGTGCCAGCTATTGTTTATCATAACACCGATTTCAATCATGAACTGCTGCTCCAAGTCCCTCTACTCATCTAAATCACAAGAAGGGAAGAAAACCAACACCTCCAACAGACTTTGAGCTAGCCCACCTCATCGCGCGGTGCATCTCCATCCTCCTGTGCGCATAGTTCGAGACCTACCTCTATCACTAGCCTTGCCATAATTTGAAAAACACTGGGATGACAATACCACTTTGCAGGGCTTTGATACAATGCCCCTGCCAGGAACCCTGCATGTGCTTCTTCGGCTCGGGACACTCCGCTCCTGTGCACCAGGCTCTTCTTGCCTCAGCAAAGTGCACTTTCAATATAAAGCAGCTGCTGGGCTTTGTCTTTGCGGCTCAACATGTTACGATGTCACCACCGTGAATTTCCCGCTGAATCCGTCGACTCTACTTCATAAGAATCAAAAAGGACTCACCTAAACAACTCAGTCAAGGTGGCCACGGCATGTGGTTTGGGCAAAGCACATTTTTTGCGGTGAAAAGCTTTGCTTTTGTATGTGATCACAAGGTTCCACAAGTTGATCCTGCGGCGTGGGTAGATAACACTGCAATGCTGTTCGCTGTCGATGACTCAATACTGGTAGAAATCCCTTGAGAAAAACAAAGTGTTGTAAAAGCACATCACCAAAAAAGAGAGGAAGTAAAGCAAGGACTCTAAAGAGAAAAGAAAAAGAGAGAGAGAGAGAGAGGGAGACAGAGAGAGAAGGAGGGAGGCTGGTTTCATCGCCCAGCTGCTGCTCTGAATCGGGTTTTTCAACTTCAGCCATGACTCACGCAGCACCGAAAGGACCCTCAAAGCTGTTTGAGCCCAAATGATTTGGAAGAGACAAAAAGTCAAAACTATCAAAACTGCAGTGTGAAACAATGGTTCTTGCTAACTTAACACTCCACAGGGTCTTCAAGTACCAGAAAGGTAAGCAGGCTCGTTTGAAGGGATGGCATATCAGTCATGAGAAGCAATTGTTGTCGCAAATATTTTACATCATGTTTTGCAAAGAATTTAATCTGAAGAGAGTGTCTGCAGGAATGTTCCTAAACATGTGGCCATTTCTAAAACCAAATTACACGCTAACAGTTAGCAGTTAAAGCTGATGCAACAAACACAATAACAACGAAAGCAAGGCCAAAACCCGCATGTCATTGTATGTTTTTCCACCTCAACCTTTGTCGTATTTCCCAAACGCCGCAGTAAAGCATCTCAACAAACAAAAGCAACCACTCCACAACATGAAACCTCATCAAAGAGTTACATGCACGAAACGTTTCAGGAATGACTGATTTGACCCTGACAAAAACAATGAAAGTGTCATCAAAGCGGGCAATCAAGGTCATTCATTCACTGGCACACATTACTGGCGGAATCTTGTGAATTTGAACAGAAAAACATCATAACAAAGGAACAACCAAGTTCAAAGAAACAACTAAAATTAAACATGCCTCTCAACCCGACTTAATCTCCCACCCAACAAGCAAATCATTTCGGCAGGTAAGAAGAAGAAGAAGAACAGGAGATCGATTTCAACATTCATCGATTTTTAAAAACAACTGCAAACCTGAAGTTGCCAATGTGCGGTGTACTTCAGCTTTCCATCACCACTTGTTTCCCAGGGACAAGACTTGTCCACAACAACAGGCCAATTCTTTCCATTGGAGGTTGCAAAAACAACAATTTCCCAGTTTTTTTCAACCCACGCTGCATGTTGGGCCGATGGAATAAAACCAAAACGAACTTCAGCGTGGATAAACAAAGCTTCGCATGTTTGTTGTCACAGTCAAAGTGCGCCGCAAACTGCGGCAATGTGCCGCGAGTACAAAGAAAGATGTTGAAGTTTGATGTCCAAGCGGCTGATGAAAGCATCGGCTCTGGCTCATCTGGGTCTTCCAACACATAGCGTCTTGTTGACCAGCCACTGTACCAACGGAAGGTTCGGTCCATCAAGTTTTCATCTACTGCCTCATCTTCTGACTCATCATGCAGTGCAAAAGACACAACATTCACCTTATAGTTGTCGTCATAGATCCAGCTGTGAACATGGTCAAGGCCAACGATGAGAAGACGCTGATTGTGCTGGACTCTGGTGCTGACATCAGCCTTCTGCCTCGCACCGTGGCAGACAATCTCAAGTGCTTGGCAAGGCTGTACTTGAATGAAAAAGGTTCACAGTTGGCCACGTATGGAAGAAAGTTGGCTCAGATTGAGTGTGACTCAGCTGAAGGTTCTGTGGTGATTGAAGACGACTTCATTGTTGCATCAGTTCAGACGCCATTTGTGAGCATGGGTAGACTCTTGATACAGAAACTGGTGTGCAACTACAAGCGCCTGATGCTCAGTGCATGATTCCTCTTTA